TTAATTCCTTAGATTAAGACGGCCAAGCTTCCCCCAGAAAGTGCTCTAAACATGTCGTACTTGATTCCGTCACAATGGGCAGCACATACACTCAAAGCAGTTGGTGGTATTTGCATATTTACTAATTTTTTTCTTTACGTCTCGATATTTGCGAAAGACCATTGACAGGGATGAGTTCCACCATGGATTTTGTGAGAAAAACTGGGAAAGCTGCTTCTAGCAGATTTGGTCTCAGGCTGAGAAGTTCTTCGAATTGATGACAACTCGGATGGTGCATCCATACGTCAGCTAGGTCGTCGATTAAGAATTTGCGGGAAATGAAATTTTCTATTTTTTACAAAGAGTTGTTGTAACTTAGAAATAAAATGGGAGAATTTTGCCTTTTACCGATCGAAACCCTTCCAGTTAAGGAACACAATAATTGAATAATTGATGAAAGCTAGATTCAGGACACTACTCGCAGTACGATCATTTCAATTGCAGTAAAAAGTAGACTTTGCATTTGTTAGAGCTTTAAAGCTCTATTTCTGATGGTATTTACAAGGATCGTGGACCAGTGTTTGGGACTGAAATTTCCAGCTAAAATTCCATTTTGTTCATCATCCAGAAAGCCACATAACCTACGAATTTTATCACAAAAAATGTTTATGTCAACCCTTGGAGGGAATTAGAAATTCATACTTTTGATGGTAATAATATCAGAGATTGAATACGCCTACGTATACCTTGCTTTTTAACAAGTACGCTAACATCGTACAGCCATCGGCTCGTTATTTGGCGGCCGATGTATACTTAGCGATCTCAAAATTAAAAACTTCGTTTGTTAAACCAAGTCACTTAAAATGTAAAAGTCAACATTAGTTTGCGCCGAACATTCCGTATATTATATTGTAACATAAAATATCTTTCGTGATTTGTTCAGCTCCTTTCGAAATTGAGTTCGTACCGCCGAATTACTGTTTTTGAAATAGTATTGAATTTATTTACAATTCTTAGGAGATCTATTACAAATTATTTACAGGAACTTATATTTACAACGCTTTACTCCTCACAATTGTCTTGCTCGTCCGAATAATGTAATTTAACTCTCTTGATTCGACTCAATTTGCTTCCCGCAAATATTAAATATATATATTTTATAAATTAGTGACCCTTACCTAAATTCGTCGTGACATAATAATTGTGTTAAGCTCCTCTTTAGCTAAATTTCTGGTAATTGCTGTTAATCTTTTTGCAAGTCATCAGCTGCATAAGATAGCTAAAGCGTCGTGACTGTATCTTTGGTTTTTCCTTCCTTTTAAATTTTCTTTTTTTGAAAAGTTGACTAGTTTTTATGATAACTTAAATCAGCACATGTGCAATTTTCGTAAGAATATTATAGTATAAAGCCTTTTCAAAATGTGTTTTTGTGATATAAAGTATTTGAACAATGCGAAAATTACTACAAAATTTAATCTAGAATAGACATATTACTCTTCTTCACCTTCTTCTCGTTAGTAGTAAAATTTGTCTGCTGACGCCTTCGCCTGAAGTCCATACAATCTGATAGTTGAAACATTTTTCTGCGTTTAATCGTGCTTCGAATTGATGCAGTCCGCCACCAACTCCAAAATAGTGAGTTTTCGCAGCCAAAATAACGACGCCGTTCAGTTTTAATTTAGCTTTTAGGCAACGTAACAGTTTTTCTTGATTTCTGGGAGTGTAAATAGTTTCGGTGGTTAAAACAACATCATAAATATAGGCGCCTTTGCAGAACTCTGTCCAATTGCTCCAATCACCTAATTAAAATTCCACATTGTCGAAGACTTGCTCTAACGCTATTTGCTCGGTGATGTTGATCAATAGATTAGGTATAGTAATTTCCTGCAAAACATCTTTACTCTATAAATGAGTAGAAAGAAATTTTCAATTAATAGCCTTTAAAATGTAACCTTACACATACATAATCTTGAAAATCGACACGAGCCCTTGTTTGGAGGCGTTAATGCCCAGTAAACCAGCACCGCAGCCCAAGTCAAGTACTCTTTTACGCGTCCACCAATCTAGAGAGTACTTTTCAGCCATAAAATTTAAAATGTCATCAGTACACTCCCAGATCTTTGCACCACCTTCATAAACGCCTGGCACTAAATTAGAATGTTGGTCGTGGGCTTTCTTAATATCTGACTTAGAGGCATTCCTTATGTCCCCTAATAAAAAACCGCCGCTTAAATGTGATATACAAACATTCTTCAATATTTTAGTATGACATTGCAGACGATAGACGTCGACATTGTCCAGAATAGATTGCGAAGATAAAATTTCTGTGGCTTCGTGGCAATTAAGTGAGGAAGTTTCCTCTTGGTACAAGCTGCAAGAAATGTGGATTTAATGAAATTTTTCAACTCTATTATTACCAACTTGGAGAATCGTTTTGATAGAAAGTATCATTAAAGTTATCATCTTTATCACACTCGTCAACCCGAAAATCAAATATGAACATGTTTGTTTTTAATAATTCGGGACAAGAAAAAAGAGAAAAAGCTACCCAAGAATATAAATGAAAAAAGCTGAAACATTAGCGAAAAAGATTTTCAAAAAGAAATACGTACAGCACACACATTTTTGCACTGATTTGGTCGTGCCCCGGTTTTTATCAATTTATAAACAAAAAACTTTGGTCGTGCAATACTATGATCGCAATTATTAAAATCAAGTAAAAAAGCTGTAATTTGAAGAACGTTTTCAGATTGAAATTATAAAATTGCATTTGTGGTTGAAAGACGGAAAAATTGAAACGATATTAATAGAAAAAAAAAATTAATGAAAATTGCCCAAAAGCTCGAGAAGAAAGAAAAATGTTTCGTGGTCGGAGTTGGTTAGGTGGCGTTTGGAATAAACGTATTGTTGGAACATATTAAGTAAAATATTTATATAGCATTTTAGAAAAAAATACAACGGTAAATTTTTTTGTTTTTATAGGTTTGTATACAGTTTGCATTGATTTGTCATGTTAACGGAGCTTTTTAATTTGTTTTTTGTCTTTTTACATTTTTTTAATTCTACAGATATAAATGCCGGCGCATTTGCAGTTTAACAGATTATTCCACTACTGCTTTGCATTTTTAACAGACTATTCAACTACTGCTTTGCCTTTTTAACAGAGTATTCCACTACTGCTTTTTTTAATTTGATAATGAAAATTACGGCGGTCTACTTTTAGGCTAACTTGTAAAATTATTATTAACCACCTGCCATCCGTTTTACAATCTTCAAAATCGGTAATATTTGCAAACGATGTCAAGTTATTTTACTCTTTTAATACCTTAGAGGACGACAGATAGAGGTTTATGACGGCTTTATTTCGAGATTAACGGATGTACGTAACACTGTACAACGAATTCCTTTGGTCTGTTATTTAACAGAATCGAATCCCTTTTGTCGGTAAAGTTGGGCAATTGGTCTGTTATTTAACAGAATCGAATCCCTTTTGTCGATTAAGTTGGACCTTTAACATTAGCTGATTGGCGTTAACAGTTTTGTTAAGTTGGGCATTTAACCATTTATTTATTGAAAGCGACTCTGTGCTTTCAACAGGGAATTTAACCATTTATTTATGGCGCCTGCCACGATACCCAAGGGTGGAAAACCGTGCTTATATGCTTAATGTAACTTTCTCCGTTATAAAATTAATTTAATGTGCAAAGCAGTTGTAGGAATTGAAAAGTTGCGAAAAAAATGAAAGAAAAGAAACTCAAATATATTAATTGAGTGAAAAATAGAGAAAATTTAAAAATATTTCAAATAAAAAGAGCGTTTGTATATAAAATCATTATCTTAGATCTATTTTCATCAGAAAACTCCATAACACTCTATATGACAGGGAATTGAAAAAATCGTCCAGTCAAAATAGTAATGTTTAATAACGTTTAATAAGGTTTCGATGTTTAACTCTGCTTATATTTGACATGTTTAAGAATGTGAAGAATGCTGAATAATGTCTAATAAGGTTTTGGTATAGACATTTGACATGATTAAGAATGTGAAGAATGCTTAATAATGTCTAATAAGGTTTTCGTATAGAGATACAAAAGCATATTGCAAACAGAAAATGTTGCGTAAATTTATTTAAATATATAAATATAATGTTTAGGCGGTAGAGGAGTTGAAGAGATTTTCCAAAAAATGTTAGAAAGAAACCACGAGATGAATTATTATTATTATTTTAAGTTATAGCCTCTCTCTCTCTCTCTGTCAGTATATTCTTGTTACGGACAATTTGTTTATTCATTTATTCATTATCTCCATTATTTATTTATATATCCTGTTCGAAAAATGTAAAAACAATGGTATCGCCAAATATGCAATAATGCAATAATTTTATTTGTTTAGTTATATTTTAAATCACGATGACAGATTTTATTAATGTGGGTTCGTTTGTTTGCTATCGGCTTCCAATGTAATACTTCACGTGTTACTCTTGTTACATCGTTTTGCCTCGTTTGCCTTGTCTCCATTCTATAAAGAACAACAAATGAATTTATATTTGTCATACTTTCGATGGAATCGATGTGTGCAGCTTTATAAGTAAAAAATCTGTTTTAAACATATTCATATTCATTGCCGTCGGCATTTCATTGCAAAATGAAAAATGAAAATTTGAATTGTGTGATGTAAAGTACTACCAAGATTTCACGGATCACTTTCGCACGATTCTGTTAATTTGATAGAAGCCGCAGATGTCATCAGGGTAAACAATATTATAAAATTCGGCTCAAGCTGAATGCAGTTTCTTTTTTATTCCTTTTTAAAGAATTAAACCGCCTTGAATCTGCGTTCGCACTTAACCGAATTTTGTGGGCAATAAACGTAATAATATCATATATCGGGAAAAAATGCGAAGCGCTTAGTGTTTTGGTTCCTGTTCTTGACTATCATATTGATACGTAGAAGGTGGACTGCACTTGATATTGGGTTTATAATCGATTCAAAATTGAGCTTTGTAAATAAAATATATGTTTTTTATAAATTCTTTTATATATATTTAAGCCGGCGTTAATAAAGCGATTTATTAAGCGTTGATCGTATGAATTTAACGAAGCACAAGCTTGTTTACCGCACTTGTTAGGCCTGCATTAGAGAATTCTATTGCGATGTAGTCCCCAAGTTGATCAGCTTGAGTCTATGCAAAAATTTTTTTTCAAACTTCTCTTAGAGTAGCTTGAAATGAAATTATGAGAGTCGTGTTAACCTTACATATCTTTTAGCCTTAGAGAGTAGATGTACTTGATCTGATGTCTTGTTTATAATAAAGATACTATCAGGGGATCGAGAGTATAAGGTTGCCGCCAATTCGTGTCAACTATGAGCTGAATCATAAACTTTGGGTCACCTTTAGGTCTTTTATTGATTATTATAATCTTTCCGTCGGCACTTCTAGAAGTAAAAAATGCAGTTTTAAATGAAAGCGTCTGAAAAACTTGACCGTTTGTCCGTATTGTTGTTGCTACAGTTTACCTTTTTTGTCGTATATACTCCTACGTGTAACCGTCTGTTGCGCAATCTTGGTGTTCTTCTGATTTTGAAAATGATGTTCTGTGCACATACTGAATGATTACTAGCTAATGTTAGGAAGTTTTGGCATTGAATAAACGATAAAAAATATATCAAATAATAATTTAATATATATGTATATGTAATAATTAGGATTTAAGTGTTTTCTTATTTGTTATAGAACTCTATTGTACTCTACCTTACGCATAATATATGTTATTATGTAATGCAACTAATTTACTTTGTTTCTTTAGATATTAATAATAGTCATAGTAAGTCCCTGTATAAAATTTCATGAAAATATCCAAATATATTTCGATGTGTAGTTCGGAGACAAGCATGCATGGGCAGACGTCAGGGGGACATAAATCTTGGTGAGAAGACAAATCAGAGGTTATCATAAAAAGCGTTAACAACAGCGAATAAGTGTTTTCAAAAGTTATAATGGACAATGGTAGCCAGCGAACGTAAATAAAAGAAAAAATAAAAAGGGTTTTAAATTTCAAATCAAACTGCGTAGAGGACTTAAATATGGTGATAAATAACAGAATAATTACAATAAGCGCAATAATGGTTAAATCGACCTTTGATGACAATCTTCTATGTCCAACAACAGTAAACACAGACATACAGGTTAATTGATTTTTGTTTACATTTGAATAACATTGAACTCTAACGTTTGGAGCGGGTAAAGAAGGCTGTTTCCTTACAACATTCATTGGATTTCAAAACAGTACTCTGTATACAGATTCTTTAATAATTTCAAAATAGGATTCTGTATACAGACTCTTTAATAACGTTAAGCTGGATAGCGCAATGAAAAAAGTAACTCAGCACATTTACTGACACGGGAAATCAGAGCAAACGAATTCGTTAAATCCTGAGTATGTTAATATGGGCTCTTGTGCTTGTGCGGAAATGTCTAATGGGCCAGAATAAAAGCTTATTGAGATACCATTACATTTATACGTTAGCATCCACGAGGTTGAGTTGAGTCTTTGTCTGAGTTGAACGGTTTACTGAAATAACAAAACTCCTACGAACTACAGCTTACTTGTTCCGATTTATATAGCGAATTAAAGCCTTATTAAGAGCGAATATAGACGAGAAAAAAAATGGCGAACTTGAAAATCTTACAGCGAATAAATTACAAGAGGCAGAAATTTACTTATTATAATTAAATGTGAAGAAATGCTATATTACAGCAAAGAAATAAACGCTTTGGAGAAAAATAAAATATTGGCAAGTAATTCGAAATAGTCGCCATTAAGCTCCGCAAACTAATAAAACTTTGTTAAAACCTGATTGTAAACTACCTAAAAATTCACATTTTACACTGACAAAAGCAATCCAATTATTTATACTTGAGTCAACTTGTAGTACTGGACATAGTAAAACACATTACGGTAACATACGAACCGTATTAGCATTCATCCGGGCCAAATACTGGATTGTAATGGCGTGACAGTTAGTAAAGCGAGCTCTTCAGCGTTGCATTGTCTGGTTACGTTCTCATGGAAAGGGTGCAATAGAACCGTACCGGACTCTATTCCCTAGAAAATGTGTAGCTACTAACAAATTTTTCGAAACTGCAGGCATAGATTTTATGGCCCTCTTTACACAGAGCTGAAGATTGTAAACGAAAGTGAAACGAGAGATGTCCAGTATGCTCCTTACGTGGGCAGCCGTACGAGTTGCTCACTTAGAGTAGGTTGCAGATCTCAGTACGGCAAATTTTGCAAAACTGTTGCGAAAATTCGTTGCATGAACAGGTATAATTATTTCGTAAAAACTATTAAAAGAGTAAACTTAGAACTTATAACTCTTGAAGAGTTGGCAAATGGTTGTATCCTCCATATGGAGCGAATAGGCGGAATAAACACCTTTGCAGATAAAATAATAATAAACATACAAAAAAACTAGGAATGAAAATTTACAAAAAACGAAACTACTGAGAATAAATGAGAAGGGTTGGAACGTTACAAAACAAAAAAATCCAAGCAATAAAAGAAGCAACATAAATGATAGGTAAGGACGAGCTACCCGGCAAAATGCAAACATTCAAAAAGAAATACAATGAAGCTAAGGAATTATTAAAACAATTTTCAAAAACAAACGCCGTAAATAAAGAAATGTTTTCTAACATTGAAATTGCTTCTAAATCCATACCACGCTTTACAGACAATTATAAAAAGCTTAACTTCTTTTAGCAATTTCAGCAATATTTATATATAATGAGAATAGGAAGATCTATAACCATAATAATTCTTATAATAAAAAAAAGGAACGCTCGCAAAACAATCTCTGACAGAGACGATAATAACAGTGACAGAACGACAACTACCAGCGTTATCAAAACAACCCCAATAGACAGCGAAATAATAATTATAGAAGCAGCAATATACATACAATAGATTATCAGAGAAATGGAACTCATCCGAATTCCCTAATTCGCAATAAAATGTCGAAAACTGGCATCACATGTACCACTCCAAATCTTCAAAATATCAAAGTTATAAAATTATATTGATGTATTAAACTTTCAAAAACCGTCCAAAGTAGAATTAACGTTTCTATTAGACACAGGCGCGAACATATACAAATTTATTAGAAAATGATGCGAAAGATTATTTCGAACATACTAGTTTAACAGGAACTACTAGGGAACACATGCAAACCTTAGGAACAACCAAAAATAAGTTTGAGAAGTGCTACAACACAACGTAAGGTGCAACTGGTCCACTAAGATTTTTCGGAGCATGCAAATGGATAAATGGATACGCATGTAAAATGGGGTACGAGATTTTTCCTTTGCAATTAATACTCCTGATAAACGGACCCATCTCCCCATATGCGTTCAAACAGCTAATAAAACTACTACACCTCTCCCCTCCAGATGCGAAGTAGTAATGTGCTTTGAGATCAAAGTACAAGACGACGTATCAGTACTAAACAGAGAAATAGAAAAGGGAATATATATAGCGAACTCGATAAAATCTAACAACGGACAAAACATATCGAGATATTAAACACATAAATAGAGAGATGATAATACGATACCTACATGTCAACTCCGAAACTGCTTACAAATACATTATTATACAAGACACAAAACCAACGTGGTGAATACCGCTTCCAAATAATATTAAAGTTCTCAAAATTAGACGGCTTGATAACACTTGAAGCCAAGAACACACAAAAATATTCAGAAAATTACACACGGTTTTCCATTTGAAAGATGAATCACACACACACAATAATTATTATGCATAAAACATACAAGCGCCATGATAAAATATCAATTTACGCAAAAAAGTAATACCTACCCCTGGCGCCAAACGTGCTCAAGTAGAACTATTAAAACATAAGATAACGGAGCCCTCACTTACCCCCCAAAAGGAGCAAACGCTAAAACAAAACGATAAACTCCCTCTTAAAAGATTAGAAGACATTTTAGACAAACTAGGCAGGCCGAAATATTTTTCCACGATGAATATGACAAATTCAGTCAATGAAATTGAACCTGAAAAAACTCAAGACGGACCAGGGGCCCAATAACAATACATAAGAATAATCTCTGGACTTCGTTTTTCCAACAATTTGCAAGCAATGATAACCACATCGTTATCATTTTTAGATATCCAAACATTTCTATTCGACGGAATTATATTTTAATTTAAGAATGCAACTGTGGACACCACAATAGCAATCTTACAATAGTATTCGAAAGATTATAGGCTCACAACCTGAAATTAAGCTAAAAAAATGAAATTTTTTACAAAGTGAAGGAACCTACAAAGAGCTCCTCAAAGGCATAAAAACAAATCCAACCAAATATAACAGTATACAGGATTATGCCCAACTTTAGAATGCAGATAAAGTCTGCAGATTTTTATCATTCTGTAATTAGTATCGAATATTCACAAAAAACTTTGGCCATATCGCGCAACCATTAAACGCTACTTTAAGAAGAGGCAAAGAATGCAACTGGACTGACATATGTCAAGAAGCATTTTTAGAACTAAACTCAGGTCCCCTCCCATTCTGATTTTGATAAAACGTCCTTCATAACAACAGACACATCGGATTATCTCAAGGCGAGGTAGGTAAAAATATCCGTGGTAAATCTAGAAATAAACATGAGAAAAACGAGTCCATCATTAAAAAGGAATTATTGTAACGCGTTTTAGACCGTACCTGTTTGGTGGAAAATTCACAGTGGTAATTAACTATAGATCATTTTATCACTAATTTTCCACAAAAATACGACCTCAAAATTAACCAGGATAGGGATAGAATTGTAACATTTGACTTTCGGTCCTTTTATATACAGACACAACGTTGTAACACTGCAAAAGGTAGGGTTGGTAAATTCACTGACGAAAAATCACGGCAAATAAAATAATTAGCAGGTCGAAGGGATTGGCATGCCAGAAAATGAAATGAAGAAAAGGAAGAAGACTAAGATGGCAGACGAAAAGGACTTCAGAAGGTGGTTTTGTTGTGTGAAGTGATGGCAGAAGAAATCGCTGTTGCTTTTCTTGTGTGAAAGGAATGGCAGTTGAGAATCAAACGAACGTAAAACAATACAAAACCCGTCGAACATGCAAACAAACAACGCACGTTAAAGAACCCCATAAGTAACGGACACAAGATCGACGTCTTCTGAAACATAAGTCTTATAATAAATTTCGGTAGTTATTTGCAATACAATGCGAATTGACAAAATACGTAATCGCATGCCCATTGAAAATAGAAGCACAAAATCGATTGCGAAAATATTAATAGAAGAAATAATACTTATATATGGTCAATTTACTAAAATCTAAAAAAACAATAGAATTTTTTAATGAACTAATAAAAGAAATTTGTCTGCTACTTAATATGGAACAAAAGTTTTCTCCCTACGGCGATGAAACTTTAGGTACTGTGAAAAGAAACCACAGAGTTCTTAACGAATACTTCTTAGCCGTCATAATAGGCATTCACTGGGATAAATGGATAAATAGCGTGTTGCTTATTCGCATATAACGCAACCACTCCTTTAGAAATACAAAAGTTCTTACAAAAAAAAATCCAAAGAATTAAAAAAAAAACACAGAAGGAGGTTATACCAATCAACTAAATATTCAAATACGAGGTTAAAGAATCCTCATGAAATCACTTAATAGAAAGAAACTAGATAAACCGTATGGAGTGCCATACGAACCAATAAAAGTAATGAAGCCTAATATAACTATAAATATTAAGGATAAACTTAAGAACTTCCATAAGAATTTAAGTAAAATGTCCAATATTTACAAATGTCCACAAACCGACTACAAATGGTGTTCCTTCGCTTTGTAAACCCTCTTCTTCAAATCGAATTCACCGCCCTCATCGGCCTCATCTGCCTTACAAACAGACATCCTTGCTATGACTTTAGGTGCTAATACTTTGTCATTGTCCCCAATCGTTATCCATTGTAAAACAAATCAATGTTTACTAAATTGGGCTTAGTGAACGTGTGCCGTTAAATTCCAGTGGCCACTGACGACGTTCATAAAACCGCAATCACAACTCCTTTTGGAAAAGAAACTATTTCAACTTTTTTTACAATAGATGTCTCAAATGTAGCAATTGGCGGAGCTTTTCAACAGACATTTCATTTGTAAATGAAATATAATGCATTTGTTGTTGTTGGCGACAAATCTTTTAGAAAAGGCTTTTCAAAAAACTGAAAAAAGTCCGGGACAGACGCGACAATTGCAGCACATTTCACAATTCAGTAATGACGTGGCAATACATACGTGGCAATACGTATATAGTAGCCGATATATAGTAGCCGATACCTTGTCGCAAGCTTTTGACGTTAGTTTTTAGACTCAACAGACCTAAACATAAAAGTTTTGCAAAAAGAACAACAAAATGGTAACGACACTGAAGTATGTGATAAGGAGCAAGCGGGTAAATGTAAGATTAGTTAAATAGAAGGTCGGTTTTGATGGGTGAGCCACTCCTATGCAATGCATAATAATTCAAACTCTATCAATTGCAATTAAAGGCGAGTATGTCCAGATCTATTAATACTTCTCTTTAATAGTTTTTTTTTTTTTTCGCAAAAACCCAATGCAAAAGGAGAGTTTGGTGTCGAAACTTTTCTTTGAGGGTGCTCACGTGTACAAAAAAGAGCTTACTTTTTCGCTTTTCGGCTAGTTTGAAATCACGTATGTGGTAGCATTCGCTGCTGCAGCAACAGCTGTTAAATACTTGCCAAATTACGCTAAACTTAAATAGCTTACGATAGTAATGGTTGTTCAGAGCTGCGTTTATGAGAAAAAATAACTGTAAATGGAAAACAAAACAAATTCCAAACAGATGTACCGAAACGAAAATTTTAACTTATGAGGTTATTTATAGAAATGAAATTATGATTGTTGGATAATGGCAAAGTTTATTTACTGGTAACCAAATTCAATTACAAAAGAATTTAAATTATTTTAGCAAAATATTTTCTAAATTTATTAATTAAATTATATTAACATTAAAATTTCAGTTTAAAATTATTAAAATGAAAAATAAAATAGGGAAGACAACATAAGCTTTACTGAAAATATTTCACTAGATATGAAAATCAAACCGTTCTGTTAAGTAAGCCTGTTGTAATATAAGTTAATGTAGTTTGCACTAATAATGTTAATACTATCGCCAAGAGATGTTCTAGGTTTATAAAAAAAAAAAGAGTCATTTCTACTTCTCCATTCCGGCTTCCTCGAGTTTCCTTCAAAGATAATTTGTTGCGGTTCATTTATTTTTGCATATTTATGGTCCGCTGACCTGCAAACATGACTATTGCTGGCTAGTGTAGAATTGCCATTATATCTTTGTTAATGCCGTTTGGTTTGCTTATAATCAACATTTCGTTTGCTTTATAACTTATATTTGAAGGAAATTTTTGTAGTTCTCTGTTGTTCAGTGCATATTTAGTTTGTTTATTAATTAATGACAACGATATCGATACTTAAACAAAGCTTAATAATTCTTCTTAATGAACTAAACAAAGAAACTATTCATAGTCATAGGAAGACACCTCAAAACGTTGTGAATGTTTAAGAATCAAATTTCGCTGTTGTCGGGTGCTGGGCCAGGTAGGACGATCTCTACAATGTTTCTATGTGATGGTGAACAGAAAAATTTTAAATTGGTTAGTTTTTGTTCAGTTTACTTTCCATTTAATTTTTTTACTTTTATACAGTTAATTTCCTTCGTATTTTGACTTAATTTATCCTCAAAAACCAACGCAACTTTACTGGTACACTTTTTTTTATTAATAACTGATAAATTTGTTCATTATACACTTCCTCCATTTTATAAAGATATGATCGTTTTTTCCATTTTATAAAAACTGTATAAAATGTATATGAAATAAACATATAATGAATTTTTTAAAATGCATTTTTCCCAATATTGACGTAGCAGTATGAAAAGGTCGAGTGTAATTCTGATCAACTCGCTTACATTTACGGCTTGTACATGGGAACATAAGGTCGAAACAACTTCAACCCACATTAATTAAAATTCTTTGTTTTGTTTCTGTGGAGACAAGATTTCAGTTGAGCAATTGTGGTTTCCATGTGTGTTTTATAAATTGTAACAACCGGGAAAATAAAACAATCGTTGTTGCGTCGGCTGTCACATTGTCAGCCCTCATTAAATGGGTTCCTCTACTTTGCAAAATCAATCACCGAATCCTCAAAACACAGTTATCTCAAGCACCGGTAGTTCAGAAGAGCAATCGTTTATCAGCTACAAAAAGTAATATCGCGATATGCTACAATTATTATCTACCTTTCCATCAGCAATGTGCAACTAGCGCGCAAACGCAGCATCACACTCATTCTTCCGTTCGCAACGAATCCAGTCATGTCTCAAAAATTTCTGAAATTCGACAAACCAATTGGAGTTAGAAAACTCACAAGGACCAGATTTATGGAGAAACTCTTCCTAAGGATGGGAAATATATCAAATTCTTAAGTAAGCACAAGCTGATGAACACTATCCAGATCCTCATCAATGGTTAAACGATCAGTCAAGCCTAAATGTACTTTCTAACGTATCATACGCATTAACACCCAACAACAATGATAACCATGTGTTTAATGAAATAAGCTCTTACAAGTTTCCTCAACAAACAAATCAATTTATGCACATAGCAACGGAAAAACAAAACATGACCCAAGCGGCAGCTGAATCTGTCTTAAGATCAATTTCAATGCATTGTAATGAAAAAAAAAAAAATTTGCACAGAATGAAATGTCGTTAAGTTCATTAAAATTCACGAATGTTTTTTCGTCCAGTGGCCAACGGCCACTATGCATCACATGTGATCATCCATGATTTCCAATGTAAGTTGCAAAGCAAGTAGCAAGTAGTCAGTAAAGAAACGCCACTAAGCAGAAACTTAACACTCGACTATCTGTGCCAAAGTAGCTCCCGGTCTATGGTTTTTATAAAAGTGTTCTTTTATTTTATATATTATTATTTTAATGTGATTTTCTATAAATTTCCGACAATATTTTTACTCAACTACGTAAACAAACCAATTTTGAAATTAATTTCAAATAAGATATTTTCTTTTGTGTCGAACAGATATTCTTAAAATTGGGTGGGAAAAATTTCCAATACTTTTTAAGTGTGTTTATGAAGTTTACCTTTGCAATTAAACCGAGTGTGGTTTAATACGGAACCAGTTACACATATGTTAATAAAACTAAAATTTTGAGCAAAAAAGTATGAAATCTAGTGTTTAACATGAGCCATACTCTTCCATCCATTTTTCGAAACGGCTAACATCGTCAGCTGACACAGATTTCTTAGTACGCTGCATAGCATCTTGGAAGTCTTGCAACGTAATCGGCAAGTCTACGTCCTCACGCCTTATTTGCTTAATTTGTTCAGGTGTGCGTCCAAATATTTGCCGTCGCATTGGCATCATTGCAGCATCGCGGCATACATTGCTAATATCAAAGCCAGAATAGCCTTTCAATTGATCACCAATAGTATTGGTATCCAAAGCGGAAGAAAGGTTTACATCTTTTAAACAAAGCTTAAGTAAAGCTGAGCGGGTTTCCTCTGTGTAGAAAAAAAACCTTAACAGATATTTCATCTTTTAAATTTCATTATTTTACCATTTGGAAGCGCTATGTATATGCGTTTTTCAAAACGTCGTCGAAATGCTTCATCGATATCCCAAGGATGATTGGTGGCTGCCAGAACCATTATGACTTTGTCCTCCTGCATGGTAGCATTTAACCCGTCCATTTGTATTAGTAACTCAGCCTTAAAGCGACGGCTGGCTTCATGTTCGGAGTCGCTGCGTCTTGCAGAACACAAAGCATCAATTTCATCTATAAAAATCGTACTTGGTGCATAAAATCGTGCCATCTCGAAAAGTAAACGAACCAACTTTTCACTTTCGCCACGATATTTCGAAGTTAGCGTTGAAGAGGACACATTAAAAAACGTTGTGCCACATTCGGTCGCTACCGCTTTAGCCAGCATAGTTTTACCGGTACCAGGCGGTCCCACCATCAGTACACCTCGCCACGGTCTACGTATGCCTTTAAAGAAATCAGGCATTATTATTGGTAAAACCACAGCTTCTTGCAGTATGGTCTTAGCTTCGTTAAGTCCAGCTACATCGGTCCACTTAACACCTGGATTTCTTTGGAGAATATCCTTGTCTAATGTTTCCACAAGATGTGGTTCATAACCGATTGGTGTAAAAACTTTTGATTTTGTTGTAGTTTTCGGGGAATTCTTCGGAGTACTTAACGATGTGGAATTTTCCTCCAGAGAAGTGGCCTCTTGATCATCTGAATTGGAATTTTCATCAATCGAATTTTTCTTAGTTTTCTCTTTCAATTTGATTTGTGTAGTCACCAATTTCCGCGTCCGAACTCTTTCAACTGACCGGCTTTTACGATTTGGCATAGTCGAAGTTTTAAGGCTACGCGAGTTTCGGGTTTTATCTGAACGGTCAGCCAAGCCACCATTGCCAGTGCTGGCAACGTTATGAGAACTCCCATGGTGGCTGAGATTAATTGACGGCAGAGTTGGCTGCAATTCGGGATCTCGGCGCCTTAGCGAAGAAATCCAACGATTGTCGTTATGTGTCGGAAATGTAGCGGCGTTGGAACTACAAGGGCCCGGATTTAATGGATTAATAGTATTACTGGCTGGTGGAAGATTTGTACCAGATCTTGGTTGCGGTGGCACTTCTTTGATAAATAAATATAATTCGATATAACGAAACTAAAAACTTATATCGCTTATTCTTCTAACCTTGTGTAGGTAAACGATTTTTAACCTTTACACCAGCGTTGTTAGTTGGAGCAGTTGATGGCGATGATTGATTTGAAGATCCCGCTGCACCAATTGACGTAGTTCTGGTAGTCTCACTTTTCTTAATAGTACCAGTTCTGGCCGGTCGATGGGTTGTTGTGATTTTTGTAAACGCAAATGGCGGATATTGATCTAATATTAAGGAATCCATCATACGAGCTACATGTGATAGGCCAGAAGGTGGAGTTGAAGATGTGCTAATATGGATAGAAAAAGAGTAGAATAGAAAGTGGCTTTAGTTGTTTAAATGTTTCTCCGAAACACACTATATTGAAGTAAGAGATTTGTTATAACTAAAGTGACTGATTCAATCCAGGTATAAAGATTGCTCCTTACAGGGGTGCTTTCGATTTTCATTTTAGTTATCTAATTTAATTTGGCAGAGTTGAAAAGTTGTTAAGTTCAAATTTTCTCGAAGAATGTTTTCTATAGTCGTAACATTCAAGCTATGCTTGTTTACATAGTATGACATGGTTTGTTATACAAAAAGAAATAAACTTTCCAAAGATAAGAAAAAAATTCATCTGCTGACAAAGGCTCTTCGTAAACATCGGTTCAGTTTATAGTTTGAAAAGACGTTATAAAATATAACAGCGCGGTTACCGTTCTGTGCGTAGTCCCTCAATGCGTCTCTGTTGATTGGATCTCCCTTGTCCAATATGCGAAATCACTTTCTGACAACGGATCTATGAGGAACATCGTGGTTTAATTAGGGTTACTGTGTTCGGTCACTGCAACAAGTAATTATTTACCTTATATTGCATTCTCAAAACCAATATTAAAACTTTTAATTTCTGAAATAGACCCGTATTAAAATAATTAAAAAAAAAACCTTTACCCCAATTTTATCAATACCAACCAATTAATTCCAAACCAATCTTTCGCAAATGCCATGGAAATCAATTCACAAGTACATGCTTCAACGAATTGTCAGTAAATAGTGGAAATTTCTCATAATAGGAAAAAGAAAAATTTTCTCTTAAAAAAAATTAGAGAAATTGTTTATCCTGTCTCTGGATAAGTTGCAATATGTGCATCTTCTGAAAAAGGGTTACAATCTTTGGAGACCAATTACACCGCTTCATAAACGCATGTAGATTTACAACTTTTTGATAAGACGATTTCTGCTCGTCAATGCTGATTTACTGATTTACTTAAAGATATCTGCCTCAGTGCAATACTTTTCGATCTATATACTGCCGAAGTGCATCCTACAACAGATTTGTTGCTACTTAGGTCTTCCACCCTCAACGCCAATTGTTCTTCTCCATCATCCACTAACTAAATAGACTAGACTTTACATTTTCTTGAATATTTAGTCGATCAAATCCAGTAGTAAATAGAACATTACAAAAGCAATCGCTTGCGTTACATGCATAGATCAATATAAAAGTTAACATCTGACGTTTTCATAATCGTCGATCAATCAAAGAATTGGTGTCGTCTATAATATAATATATTGCAGCATCATTGCGAGTATCGCACATTTGATAAAATGCGTCTTAAATTCTGTTAAGAATGGAATTAGCCAATATATTGATTAAAATAAAAACGGCAAAAACAGAATATTTTTGGCGCTTATTTTCCAACGTCATAGAGTAAAGGCAGCTGAGGATTAGCAAAAGTTTCACATTGACGAATAAAAAATGAGATCCAGCATGTAAAAGAATGAATACAAATTTCCCGGAACTGGTGACAAATAAAAGCGAGATTTAAACGGTTCGAAGAATTAGTAACAACTACAGACCAAAATATCGTATTCGAGAATTGCTTCGAAAGATTTAGAAGCCGACAATGCCTCTGGAGTGAGGCATTGTGGAAAGTTAAAACTTTGTAATCATCTTCTACAAATACTTCTTCCAATTTTGTAAATAAAGTATTCCGCTGCAGGCGGTTGTCTGACATTTACATGACAACAAAGTTGATATACCAATATGATTTCTGGATAATAGCAGCCTTTGAACGATATGTACCAAAACCTCATGACATTCCTATAATTATCCAGTTATTGCAGGTTGCAGTTATTTTAGTGGCTGGGGTTTTCAAAATAATGGAAAAATCTAAACTTCATGTGTAGATTAAACATTTATTTTTTATTTTTTATGGATTCATCCCTACAAGCCAGAGTCAAATAGGAGCCCAATGAACAGAAACCGGTGAAAGCCGCTCAAAGCGACCGAAACAATAATGTCAACTTATAACTATAACTTATAAGCTAACGGGGTTGGAATGTCATGAAATTTTGACGGGGATCGTTTGGAGGTTGGTACTATCTGGAAGTCATGTCTGTCATCTGTGATGCCAAATGGGAAACTTCTGAATTATGTAATAAACCAAAGGGGGAATTCTACACAGCAACGAATCTTGTAACCAAAAAAAGTTGCCACTAACAGTGCAATTGTAGTAAGAAGTCTAAAACAGTATTATGTGGCGTTGGCATCTCTTTATTATTAAGGTTTAACCGCAAAGGATGAGCATATTTCCGATTACAAAAGAACGAGGTCTAAGTAATATCATTTTGCAAGCAGATTGGAATAAATAAAACCACAAGTAAAATGTTATAATTGGCGCCCAAAGCAAAGAACTCAAACAAGACATAAGCGCAATACTCATTGAAAGGTTTTGGTTTTCGTAAATAATTTTTGCCATTACAGATATTTAGAAGAGTTTACAGTTTGTGTTTTTATATATGACAAGTTTAAATTTGTCGTATGTATTTGCCTAATTGAACTAAGCAGAATCATATATAATTATATGAGTTTAGAAAATTTGGTTGAACGGCTCCGAGACCCAAAAATCCATGATAAGAGAGAAAAACAGAAATATGCTGTAAAATCAAAGGTTTTCTTAAGCACAAATTTTACCTAAATTAGAAATGCACAAGTTTTTCAATTAGATTAAGCATTGTAAAGACGGCAATAAAATTTAAGAAAATAATATAGACTGCCCTTGAAGTATGATACTTGTACGAAGGAAGACTTTAAAATTCTTTATAGAAGAATAGCATGAGACAGATAAATAATTTTGTCAGTTTATTTACAATCATGTTCGCCTTTTCTTTGATAGTTCTTTAACGAGTTTGCGATGATCATTGCCCAGCCTATAACAGGATAGTGACTAAACTACAACGACATCCCGAGTTGTTCTTATCGCTCTTAGTGCTCCATAGAGGAGGAAGAAACCACCGAGCATGAGGAATATGTTAATTTTTTGGGGGAACCCTTTGCTGCAGAAATGAAATATTAGACTTTTAATTGATACAGTAGCTTCAAAAAACTACACTAAATTATATTGCGAATTAAGTTTTTATGATCCAGCCCATCCACGGCCAGTACAGAGTAAGGAATCAATGTTTAATAAATTTGTTTGGGGGAAACGCAACTTTCTTTCCTACTATGTTCTTGTACCAACAGCTTACGGCGAGCATGGCAATGGTCATGGTATAGTTTGGGTAAGCATCGAAAGCGATTGAGTCGGTAAGTTGGTGTTTATGGATGGTACTCTAAACACGCAGGATTATCTAAGGGTATCGAATGAAAATTTGAAAGTGCCGACAAACTTAGTATTTTCGAAACATTCAAATTCGACGAGGGTAACGACCTCAAGCTTAAATCGAGAAGAGCGCTTATACAACTGCGCCAAAGTAGTTCACCCTCTTCCCCAACCGTGAGGCGTGAACACCATCAAAAATGTGTGCGATGAATTAAACTGCGAAAACACTGAATCTCTTCCGTCCAAGATCTGACAAACACACTACAACAAGAATGGAATTTTTTTTCCTACACAAGAAGAATTATATAAAATATGCCAAAGCATTTGAATGACATTATTAACCAAAAAGAACACCGAATCAAATATTTATTTTTAATAATATGCTACTTTTTTTCTTCGTATCCTTCCTTGTATGAAGAAACTCCAATATTAATGATGTTTTCTGAGTAGCTGAAGTAATTTAATTTTCTTGTCTACTGGAATAATGCGTCGTTTGTTTTTTTTTTTATACTTTCTTATGTATTCACTTGTAGTATAAAATAGTAAAGTCAATTTTTATGTTTGGACAATGAACTAACTTTTTTTTTCGAGCGAAAAAACCCAATATTAGTGAGACTCACTGTACGTGGCATTGGCGTCGCTGTCAGCTGATATGTTTTGACAAATACAAAAGGAGAGAAAAACGAAAGGAATGAGCTTTAATTAATATCTTTTTGTAAATGGATTGAAATATAAAACCGCAATCATCAAGATGCTATAATTTGCAATTTTTTCTTTATCTTAAATGCAAATACGTATATTTATCTATAAATGATGGGCGGAAACATGACTTACTGCGGGTCTTTCTTCTTTCAATCTAGAGAAACTCGCTCATATTCGCAACATTCTGCTACGCTTTAAAATAAAGAAAGTCCCGTAATGGGTTCCTTTTCCTCTATCCGCTTGAAATGAACTTATGGAACAGTGTATATAAATATATATATATATATATATATATATATATATATTATATGTAGAAATAAGAGTGGCGTCGAATACTGTAATAAAACTTTTCTCGTTGGAATAGTAAATAATGTTAGATATACGCCATGGAAAATTTCTCCATCGAGTGTAGTAAAGACCCAAAAGAATACTTTATTGGCTTAATTGTGTCCTAAGTGCCGATGAATATTTGAGAAGAAAAAAAACCAAAAATAAAAATCAACTATTAGTCCGTAGACAAAGTCAAAGTCAACAGCATTTAAACACGAAAGGCGATCGACCCATGGAAATTGAATAACAAGACAAAATTATCTGTATGTGTTTTGTGTGCATTTCACGATGACGTGTTTATGCTTCAATTATGTAGAATTTTATAAAATATTTCATACACTTACTGCAGTTAATTTTTTTTAATAAAAGTTTAATATAATAAACAATCGTGGCGACTGCATACAAAGTACATACAAACCTATAGGATATTTATCAACGCCGTAACACATAGAAAAACGTCATCAGTACCTAAGTTTTCTAAATTCTATTATGCGAAAGTTCATTGAACTTACACAAACAACGGATTATTGAGCTTTATTATAAAAATAATTCATACGTACAAATGGCGAATAAATGATACGTGTGCGAAGCAAAAGTGAATTTCATATTTTTAGTAAGTCGTAAGGATGTCAGCAAATCTGTATATATTCCCTACAGATAAATAACGTCTGCT